TACGAAAAAATGAATACGGTCATTCTATTGCCATCTGCATTTCAAAAATGGCCGTCCCCTACGTGCGTCGGCATGGCGCGTCGGCCATTTCTGCCAATGTGTTTCCCATGTGCGGTACTTCGTACGTGTGCTGAGGAGTTCGTCATCTTGTAGTGCATCAACATCAACGGCATGGAACGGCTGACTCCAAAGACTTGACGAGTGCACTACGATGCCGCTTTTAAAAGAAAAATCATAGGGTGTGCAGAAACGAACGGAAATTGGGCCGCATCACGGTCGTTCGGAGTTCCAGAAACGTGCATGCAAACTGACGGACGACAGCAAAGCTTCACGTAAAAGCTTCAGTGGACCACAGCAGGGTCGGTTTCCGCAAATGGAAGAGCTGCTCACCGAGTATGTGCTTGACAGCGAGTGGCATAGCGGGCCGTGACGACAGAACTGCTTTAAGTGCGGGCTACGCAGTTAGCCTTAGAAAAAGGGCTAACACTGAGCCAGTTCAAAGCGAGCAGGTGCTCGCTTTGAACTGACTCACCGTTAGCCCTTTTTCTAACTAACTTTATGAAGAGGAAAGACTTTTCCCTCTGAAGGCGAACGAGCATATGCAAAAAGTTGCGGAGTACGAAGAAAAGCTTCACAGTTTTCAGAGGTTCATCCTAAACTTGCGGCACAACGTCTACCTGCTTGGGCAAATCGGGAATGCCAATCAGACGCCTCTTTACTTTGACATGCCTGGCACCACAACCATTGAAAAGAAGGGGGCGAAGCAAGTTCACGTGCTGACATGATGGCAATGATATGTTGCATGTCAGGTGGGCACAAGCTTCCCCCGTGCTTGATATTTAAACGGAAGACGCTACCGAAAGGAGTCGTTTTCCCAAGTGGTGTGATCGTGCGGGCCAACGAGGAAAATGAGTGCACGTTACAATGAATGTCTTACCCCACCCTTTTTTTTCTTCGTGGAAACCAGGTGGGTGCACGTTACAATCGAGGGCGCGGTAGAATCGAGTAAATACGGTACACAAAGTTTTCAATAGCACAAGAGAAGTTTCGTGCAGATTCTCTGTCATTGGGAAGTACATTCCATTCTTCGACTGTTAGAGGAAAACACAAAAACTTAAAAACCTTAATACAAAATTAGTAGGGACTTCACTTTTAGAATTGTTACGTCTCTTAGACTGATGAATCTGTTTTATATCCTCTAAGACCTTGCGCACATTAAAATGCACATTATTTCCTTGCCGGTTTTTGAAATTCGCAAGCAGTAGAGTCAATATTCTTGATGCAACTGCATTCTCTATCATGAGCTCCCATCAGGTCAACAATAAGGGAAGCATACTGCAAGGGAAGTCCCATTTTCCCACCTTGAAACAGGGAGGTTTTTACGACATTCCGCTAGAGGCGTCGAAGTAAGTCACTAAATATTTTACCTGTAAATTTTTAACTGTCGTTTTAGTCTACTTGGGAAGGGCTTAAGAATAATTTTCATACATCACTTCTACTTAAAAGAGAGTATTTTTGTTGACACATACTTTCTTCAAATGTGCATTAAAACACACACACTGTCTAAATGGGTGCCTTCGCCAACATACATAAGCCAATCTCATAGGAATGGTTACAGTTTGTAGTCGTCAAGCCTTTGTGTTTCTTTCACCTAGTAATCAGTGGTAAAGAAGGGAACTGCGTTCTGGAGGCAATAACGAAAGAAACCTAAAACTTGGAATTGTCCGATGATGAGGTAAACGACCCCTCCTTCAGTGCTTCTGACACCGCACATATTTTAGTGTTCCGATAGTAGGCAATGTATCACCCCTTTTTACAAGGAGATGTATGAAAAGTTCTCGTAACTAATCAGTTTTTTGTAGATTCATCCAGCAAAGACAAAGCGCAGAAACAAAGAAGTTCAAACTCTAGAAATGCTACGTGAGGAACGGCCATCTCTCTCGACTGTGCAATATGTGATCAAGTAAATCTCCACTAGAACGGAAAATTCTGAATTCCCCATTAGCAGTCCATGGAAGTAAATGCATAAACATACCTGCCAAATTCAAGAATTCTGAATCCGAGAGATTTCCGTAAAGGGGGCTTTAAAAAAACAAGAACAAAAAACATTGCAAAAAACAAAAGGGGGTGGGAGGGGGGTCTCAATCGCAAGCGCGAACATCAGCGTTGTGGTCTTATAGTGGCTAGGAGTGGCCGAACACACGAGGGTAGAGTTTTTCACTAAGATGAGAGTCTCAAAGGATCAACGCAACTAGCAGAACCTATTTCAGTCAAAACAACTCGCGTGTGTCTTTCTGCGACACACGTGAATGGACTGGTCGGCGCAGCTGGCTGCCGCAAAAGCGCGGGTGAAAGCTTTGCTCACTGCTAGATTTTTTTGACAGGAATGCCAAAACGCGCCTGGCCCCTTTTTATTGCGATAGCAATGATATGGACAGTCTAGGCTGTTTTTTTTTTTTGCCGTTGCCACCGCTACCGTCCTTCACACTGCGTGTGTGTGACATTCATAATGAGTTGTCTAAGGTACCCACAACTACACCTCAACTGGGTGCAGGATACACGGGCAATTGCTCATGTACTGACCTGGGACCGTTTTTTTCCCTTTGCGCAGCAACTTTAAGTAGTGAACGTCCTAGACTTCAACAAAGAAGATCGGAAGAATGACCAACTACAGAAAGTCAAATAGATTCCAAACGAAGTGCAACCTGGACGCCACAAGCTGCCAAGACCAACATTCGACTGTATAAATAAGCAGATCTTCCCTTTTACAGGTGTGACCCTGCCTAAACAGTACGTGCCTGGAAAGCCGCACCCTACGGGATTGAAGAATTTTTTACTTGCCAGCCCCAATAGATTTGTCCTGGATTTCGACATTTACCAGGGCAAAGCTTTCAAAAAGATTGACAATGGCCTGGACCTTAGGTTGGGGCCAAATGTAGTACCGCTGGTAGCAAGAACATTGCCACCGGAAACATTGCTCTTTTTTGATCACTATTTCATGAACCTGCCGCTCATTGAACAACTAGAAAAGTTAAATCCACATGGTACATGCATGATCATGTAAAACCTCTTGCAATACCCGGCGAAACTGCAGGGTGACAAAACACTGGCCAAGCAAGGCAAGGGAACAAGATCCCAAACCTCAAGCACTACCTTGTTTCCTCATGTGCATATCTTGTTAAATGGATAAACAATAAGCCCACTACATTTGCTTCGAATCATGTCGGCGAGGAACCACTTGGACAATCTTTTTCTAATGAAGTTCCAAGTATCGGTGTGGCACTGTGGTAGAACTCAACTGGCAAGCAGGGTGCCAAGATTCAAATACAATTAAACCTGAATATAACAAAGTTGATAAATTTTCAAAAAAATTCTTTATAAGGAGGATATCGTAATATGCAGGTTCGGTACAAAAATTCAAAAAATAAATGCACGAATTAATCAAAAGGGGAAGTGAAGGCAGAGCTAACCTAAAACACTTATTTAGCAGTATAAAACTGCATTATTATCACAATAGCAATTAAATGGACACTCTTGGCGGGTTTATGCCAAGGCCACCATGTTGCGTAACAAGTTCAAATCGAGAACATGCTCCCACGCATCGCAACTTTATCGAGCTAGGTAAAAGCGCGCGAGCACTGCTGAAGCAGAGATCACTTGAGCCGGCACAACTTTATCACCTGCAGAGCGCATACGATAACATTCCCCCGTGTTAGAACTCCCGTCATATGCTCAAACAAAAAGGAAACCACCCATCTTAAACAGGCATGACAAAATGCGAAAGTGGAGGGTAGGGGGGGTACTCTAGATGCAACGATGCATGAACTTTGATTTTAAGGCTGCAGTCGATCGCTGGCACACGTGCTATCTCAGCAAGCATCAGTGCAGTTTTAACGCGTGTGTGAAAAGAACCCTTCTCCGTGAAGCGGCCGCGTTTGCTTACAACAGGCGTTTTGTAGGAGTTCCACAATATCGAATACAAAAGAGTTGGCTGTCAGCGTTACTTTGTATGACAATGAAATTTGTTGCTATTGCATTCATTGCGTAGAATTCAACGCACTGTCGTGTTGTTGCCAGAGCTAATCAGGTAATCACGGAGGCTATGATCCTGCGAACTCGCAGCGCGACGCAAGATGGCAAAAGCGTACGACGAGTCGACCTCCGAAGATCGTCGTCAGCGCTGTGGTTCTTGGCTAGTTTCCGAGCCTAATCTATGTCCTCTTGGTGGTGACACGATTCTCCACATACCAAAAAGAAACAAAGATGGTCGTCGAGGGCCCCACCATGTGCGCGCAGTGAAACATGCATGTGCGCACGGCATCGAAAATGAAGAGCGAACAACATAAATACCACGGAAAAACTATTGATTAAGCGCCTTCCATATGGAGCGTGTCTTCACAGATGTGACACGAACGGAAAACGCATCGCATTGAAATGCAAAAGTATTTTTTGTTGTTGTTGTTTAAATTAAGAAAGAGGGCACATGCGCCCGCAGCGGCAAGAACGCCGGCAACGCCGACTTGAGGGGTGGAGAATTGCCTTGAGCACACCTAGCCCAATAACTAGCACTCCCTAGCACCTGGGAGTCACAGGGGCCACGAGCCTGTTGCCGCTGCTTCGCACTTCGTCAACGGCGCGGAAATCGCGGAGAGTGCATGCTCGTGCCAATACAATGAAATCCGGAGCGTAATTTCTAGTTTGTCCGTGGCGAAAATTCGTTACATCAAGGAAGTCTCCCGCTGTTACTTTCTTGCATAAAGGCCACAAATACATGTGCTTCTATGGATTAACGGCGGGGAACAGAAAATCTTCGTCACATACAGGAATTTGTTATACGAAGGTTTGTTATAGGCAGGTTTAACTGTACAACTAGAACCCCATTTCATTCATAATCAACCGCTGCACCACCACCACCAAGCCACCAAAATCTAAGCCACTAAAATCGGCTGTTGTTGCAAGCTCAAAACAGCATACACTGTAAAAAATGTAAGGTAACTTACCTTTCAAACCATATGCTAAGTATGTTCCAGACATATGCAAGGAAATTTGCTTTCCATAGTTGTACTTCAGATCCCAGGTGTAATCAACAATATTCTTGATTTTTACCTGGAAGTAAATACCAAAATAAGTAATCTTGAGGGATGGTAAGGTGAAAGAATCTACTTGGTTTCAATTTAATATCCCATCCCATATTCGACATTTTATTATGAGAACTTGTCTTGCATATGAGTGCTTGAGCCCTTCACATGCTGCAATTCTTTTCTCTGCAGCCATTTTTTTTGCCTTTTTTTTTTAGTTCGGAACCAAATTCAAGGCTAGGATATAAAACAAAATGCAACTTTTTTCAGAACAAAAAATTATTTGACCAAGGAATTTTGCACAGTAATTCAACATCATTGAAACTTCAACACTTTTGTAACTACATCTATTTCATTCATTAGGATGTCATTGATAACTTCAAATTTCTGTGCTCTCTGATGGCGAATTCCCCTGGTAGATCGGGAGTGGCTGCCGAAATCTTGGAGCGAGCACTCGGAGTGTGCCAAACGAGATCTGCGAGCGGATTATGAGAATGCCCCGCGTGAGGTCTCTCTGGAAGTTTTTTACGCATACGTCACTAAACCGGTACCTGAAACGATTTTCTTCTCTGCTCTCAGCATTTCAATGACAACTGTGTCGCCACTGCAAAGCACGCGTTTCGACCACGCAGTCTCGCGGAAAGCAGGGCTACTGCTTTCCAATTTTAGGAATGTAAACAAGAGCACAGGGTTACTAGACCGCCTTAAAAACGCTGAGGGCAACCCAGCTGCCCGACTGTACGGGAAATGACGGCAATGCATTCTCGGAGTTCCGGAGAAATCCGACTCTGCAAGACAGAGCACGCGGAATGCTTCTTCGCAGAGTGGATTGCTCCGAATCTACCAGTGGAAAATGCGAACTTGCTTCGAATCTACCCCCGAAACGCAGATTGTCCGCTTTGGAGCCAGAAAACTTGCTCCTGCTCGATGAGTAGAATTTGCCATGAACGTTTCTAGACAGCTGATGCTATCCAAAGGATAAAAGAGGAAGTATATCATCAGTTTCACTTTTGAGTTTTTGTCAACCACGAGAAAATTTTTCAAGCTCCTTCACAGTCGGGAAGGTGAGCGCTCATGGTTTGAGTTATGGAGTCAAAGTCACTCGCGAGTGCTCCACAAGAATGGCAAACATAGATTCTGATGGATCTGAATAGAAATCTCTAGATGATGGTAAAAACATACACACAGAAGACAACTTTTAATTGTCAGAATATAGTATGGACAATGAAAGCCTGTCAAACTGCCTCGAACACCAGCAGATATGCACTGATAAGTTTTACTCTATCCTCGGGCAGTTTTATTGCTGCTGCAATAGACCTCTCCGTTTGTAAACAGTGTGACGTCACTGCGGGCACCCCACCCCCCATACCCTCTCTCGGAGCAGGTGCTGGTTGGCAAGAAAGTTCCTACGGCGGCATCTTTCTGCATAGCAGAGCTGCGTGTCTTCACTACTTCGACAGAAATTTCTACATTGCTATGTTCTAAAGTCACAGCCTTTGAAAGAAGGGGGTCGCGGAAGGGTCACTGCTCATAGTGTGGAAATTTGCTCGTCGTAGTTGGATGGATGGAGTGTAATGAGAGACGCGACTAGCACGCAGTGGGCTTCACCCACGTAGATGGCACCATAAAAAAAATCTGATATTTTTTGAAAACGAACGTTTTGAATGTACACAGTTACTGGCACTTAGAGAAATATTTGCATGGCATGGATGTAAACTTATTCAATTTCCATCGTGGTATGTGCAATGCAGTTTTAAACGAGGTGCAGCATTGACGGCAGCATGGTTTTGAGCTGCTGTGCGCGACATCACGGATAAGATTCTTTCATGGGTTAGGCTGAGATTAACATATCCTCGTGAAAATCGAAGTGAAATTCTGCTGCTGCATTTCTCAATAACCCAGTGAACATTCATGTGATGTAAAACCCTATATCTTAATAATATATGTCTGGTACAGTTACCTTGCTGCATGTGACACCTATAACGTGTTTTCGTACCTATATTGCTTCTTTAAGCCTGATACACACTTCTAATGCGCATCGTCACCTCATGAGAATCAATCCGTAAGAGTACCAAGTAGATAAACGAAAATCTCCGCTGTTTTCATTAACACGTATCAGGTATGCGATAATACGAGTTATAGCCCTGGTGAAGCATATATGCAGTCATGCGTAGTCGTATATATCAGCCGGAGATCATGCACTTTTATTTTTCTGCACGCCGCGCATACGCTGAGATGTACCCACTCGCAGATGATCGCGTCAAATGTATTTTTACTTTGACTACAATGTCAGACCGTAAAGTTCCATCGACAACCGGTTACTGAAATCGGCCCACAACGAATACCAGTGTTTTCGCAAACAGGACGCATCGCGTCATTCACAATGCACACACCACGCATAGTACTCCCAGTTTCACCATCCGTAAAGGTGAACCAATATTGTCGATGCTTTTCAATGCACACTACACGCCACAGTCATCACTGCACATTTTCGAAGATGATGCCGCTGTTCCACGCACAGGCCGCCACGTGTGTTCACTTCTCCAAGATTCGCCAGCGTCGCGAATATTTCATCACGCACTTTATCACACACCTAGACGTTCTCTGACACATACCACAGCTAATGTTGCCACTATGAAATCAGGATTAAGTTTTCAAAACGAAAAAAAATTTGCTCCAAGCACCGAGCGTCTGCATTGCACTCAGCCACCGGCGGGAGTGTTTTGCCAACCACCACCTTGCACGTGCACCGGTGACGTCACACTGTGACATACACCAGTAGAGGTCTATTAATGTAAACATATCCGGCATGTTCTGAAGGTCACTGCTCTTTATCTGAAAAATGTTAACTTCAGCGGGACCACTAGCACTGGTTGCAGGAAGAGAGAAGATCCTTCCACGAAGGCTGTTTGTGTTGTCTTTCCCCGTCGAAGCCGTGAGAGAGGTATGCAACCACAAAAATGAGTATGAATATAGGTTTCACAAAGGCCAATAAACAGTGCGAGGGACGGATCCTGGAGTGAGATACTGAGAGGTTGCTCAAACTGGGCGGACTTTGGTGCACATGGTAATGGTCCCCTGCATTGCTACTGAAATCAATGACATATTTTCAAGGCTTCTTCCACAATAAATATCGCCACTACAGTCAAACATCGTTAGTGCGCACCTACTTTAAGCGTACTAAAGGTCTAAATGTAGTTGCGACGAATCCCCGACCGAGTCTTATACAGACTAATGCATTCGCAAACCCCTTAAGCCGTAGTGTTTAGTTATGCCTAGCGGTTAGTCCGTACCACGAGAACGTTTCGCGCCACAAAATTTTACTGCGCTGTAAACTTGCAGATGCCACCATGTGCCGTGAATGGTTTTCCGCCATGTTTATAAGTGCAGAAATCAGCCGATAAGTATTATGCCAACACGCGCAACGTACAGCGAGTGTAGCACTGTTGTTACCATGCTGGACGCTTTTATTTAGCGACAGCCCAAACGTGCCTCCGTCCGTTGCCAGGACTACTAGAGCATCGCGAAGAGTGCATTGCTTGTGGAAAGCTCCTCATTGTCGCGTTAACCCACCAGGCTACTTGCCGAATCTGTGCATGGCCTGAAGCGGAGAGGGTGTTCTCTACAGCAAGCGGATCAGCAGTGACGGTGTGCGCAGAGTGAGCAAAGCGCTGCAAGCAACTAGTTATGCAGCAAACGATGTCGCTCTCCATGACTGTACTGCATTTTAAGAAAGAAAACTTCAGTTATCACTAAAAAGCAGACCGTTGAAAAACTATCATGGACAGCCAACTGTGTCCGTTCTGTCGCTGTACCACGCTGCATATCCCAGACCAAAGCCTCCTATATTTTTTCATGCCCGCGCAGTGGAGCAGCGGAGGCGGCCGTCCGCTGCCCTCTCTCTTCCTCCTCGATTTACGCCTGCCTTCTCCGCAAGTGGCGCTCGCACCCCATACTTGCCCGTACATGCTCTGGAGCGTACCAAGCATAGTCAGCATAGCAGCATAGTTCGCTACGCTGCAACGTGTTGAGGCACCTCGAAGCCCTCGAAGTACCTACAAAAGTGGCTCTACAAGCAAAAGTTGTCCCGTGTCCGTCGTGTTTGCCTCAGGTAAGCTTGTGTGTCTTGCGGAAGCAACGGTTTTAATTATGTTTTTTGTTTGGACTATCAGGGAAGCATGACAGAACTCGCAGACAATGTGTACAGTGCTCGCGGAATAAGACGCGGCCTGTAAAGATTCAAAAACAACAAATGGTATATGCAATTTAACGTGATAAGAACGCAATATCGCTGCAAATCTGACCGCTAATGTTAACGTGGTCTCTGGTGTAAGTGTAAAAGGCAGCCCTACGCTATCGTAGCACAAATTCGGAACGCTGCAAGTGGAAGTACGTTTAACTATTTACATGAACATTTATTGTTCTAACAGCGTTCTGATCCTTAAGGTTCAATGCCAGTGAATGAAGCGACCGTTTGTTTACTATTCTACGGGTCCATGTGTGAGTTGCTAGCGCCGTCACTATCTATATTGTTTGCTACTCTAAAAACTGTGATTTACGGTGCATATTCATGCTGCATTACTTTTCACATACTAATTCGGTTTTCTATCTGCAGTGTGGAATCAGTAAGGTTGCTCTGTATCCTACAAGATGCCGTACTGCTGCGTACCACGCTGCAAGTCTTCGAGCAAACAACGGACGCCGGGCATATCGTTCCACGAGATACCAAGTGATCCATAACTTCGAGCAAAATGGCTAAAGGTCATTTCTCGGAACGACTGGACACCGAATACGACGTCGTGCTACTCGACTGTATGCAGCCGACACTTCAGTTCCTCCTACTTCAAGGAGGGCTGCAAAATTCGCAAACTCAAGAAAGACGCTGTTCCCGGCATTTTCGAAGAGTATCCTCCGTACCTGCAGCTTCCAAAAAAGAGAGAGAGAAGCGACGCGTTTGTGAGAAAACGCGAGGCAGCTGCGCCAGTGAACACACCACCGCGGAAACGAAGAGCAGTTGAGAGCCAACTG